CCAAAGATGAGTGGAGAGGAGGGCTGAGCAGCGAACCAGTGTGCAATCTTCCCCCAAAATGTATCTGTTTCCCCAGATTTGGCACACCCCGTCACAAATTGCGGGGAGGGGAGGGCTGAAGACCCGAACTGAATACGAACTAGGTGCAAACAATGGTTTGCACATTTTTGGCTGGTAACGATGCTCAGCCAAGAACAAAGCAACAATGACATCCATTGGTACTTCAAAAGCATTTTTCCCTGCTGTCGTTCCCTTCCCTGAGGAGTTTTATCAGACGCCAGCACCGAACCCACGGCTCTACTCAACGCGAGGAAGGCTTGGGGCTTGGGATTGCTACGGTGAGTCAACAGCCGTTTCTGCTGCTTTTCTTTGTCTTGAAACGGCAGTCTGAATAATTGCAGCTCGGCTTTCACTTGATGGGATCATCTTGCCAACTTTCCTCGAACTGCCTATCATTGGAGTCAACAAGGCCCAAAAATTAAACCTAGGCAGGTATTCATGAAGCTACAATGCGAAGGCCACTTGCAAAGCCTTGGTGCGTTGAAAATCACCACCAACATAACATGTCTCAGTTGCTTCGCAACGATTAGATAGTCCCTTGCGGCCAGCTGAGTTGCCATTTCTAGATCGTTTTCAGTATGCTCTACTGTCCAGTTTGGGACCCTGAGAATCGGCTGGTAAAAGCATCGAATTGGCCGACCGGTCGGGCTATAGAAAATACACTGATTTGTCGCCAACCTGTCACCGAAGCGAGCAACAAACTAACTCATAGCATTCTTTTGTCAACGGGTAGGGATGGAGCCTAAAGATGCCATGGTGCCGTAATATACGGTAAAGGGCCTTTCGGAGAGGCTTGCTGGTGTTGTGGGATGAAGTACTACCGCTGAAGCCTCACGTATGCTTGTGGAATGTGCGCTGCAGTATTTTGTCATGACCGTCACCAAAACTTTCGGAGAGGCTTGCTGGTGTTGTGGGATGAAGTACTACCGCTGAAGCCTCTCGTATGCTTGTGGAATGCGCGCTGCAGTATTTTGTCATGACCGTCACCAAAACTTTCGGCCAAAAGCATTTTTGGCACCAGTTGGATATATACATTTTATCGCTGACCTTATTCACCAAATCGGGAAGCTTTACCACTACTGCCCTTGATCCACCTCACAAAGGTACGTAAGTTTACTAGTTTTATTTTTGTACCGATCTAACCGCGTTTTCTTCCCTTGTCAAATGCGATCAGTTGAGAAAATACATATTATGTCAGTGTTATCAAAATGCAGATAGATTTCGTGGCCCCAGGCCAATATCAGTGATGGCGTCGCTCTAACAACGCTTCCTAAGTGCGCCTCTGCGCACGTGTGTGCTCATTTGGACCCTTCACCGCGGGTCCCTTCGCGCCCTGTTCGCGACGAGGGGCTGGTGTCCCCACGTGGCGCCATCAGAACCAGGAGCTCCAAAAATAGCCTGCCACCCCAGAGGCGGGCGCACCCTCGCGGTCCGAAGTCGCTCAAGCCATGCGCATTCTAATGAGGTCGCAGTCTGGCCATCAGATGCGCCGCGCACGCATGAACGGACGTCGGCACCTCAGGGACCGTCCCAGCGGGGAATGCCGCCCAAGAACTTTAAAGTCCCCACAAGCCCGGGGCGGAGGTCATCGCCATTTTATTCATTTTTTCCAGTCAATACCCCTAGGGCCAATGCTACCTTTCAAAAGGGTGTGTGCGGGTGTGGGGAGCTCGCCCATCCTATGTGCCTTTGCACCCTGCTCCCACACTCTGGACGCTGCCCATCGAACAGTCCCCCCTCCCATCCGACGAGACCCACGAGGTCGTCAGTAGGCCTCAGTCCTGACCGGCAGTGGCGCACCTGCACCAGCGGCGGCGCCAGCGCCCGGCTGGTGCGCCCGACCGGCCGGGCGCCGCGGGCCGCGCGCTGGACACGGCCCTGGCCGCCTGAGACGCGGCGGCGGCCCGGCCGGCAGGCCTCCGCCGGGACCGGCCGGCCGAGCGGCAGTGCTGCGGAGGACGCCGGCGGTGGAGGTGGTGGCAGAGGGCCGGAGCACAGCAGCGCCGACTGGTCACGGATTGTGTCCACGAACCACACCACCGCAGTACCAGCCATGGTGAGTCGCCGTGGGACCGCTCGTCGCTGAAGTTCAGTTGGGTCTGTGTCTGTCTTCACGCGTGATGGGGACGACGGTGCTGGCGTAGAGGCGTTAACATGCACATGCGTAAGTCTGGTGCGTGTGATGTCCTTGCATCTGCCGGATTGTCGCGGTCCGTCGGTCCGACCAGTAGGGGAGCAATCTGCAGGTGCGACATACCAATTCATTTTGTACCTCACGCTCTCTTACCCTGGATGCCCCTTCAAACCACTGCGGAAGTGCTGTCTAATTGGGGAGCGCGCGTGGTGCACGCCGGCCAGCGGCTGCGAGCGCACCACTCAGTCGGCTCCATCCGCCTTGCCGGCCGCCCGCCCTCCGCCGGACCGGATATCCGGATACCCC